CCGGAACTCTTATTGTCAAAGGGGATTGCATTGCTCACAAATGTACTAGAGAGCATCTGTCATTTGCGAACTTACCTTTCCCTCGGCCGTCCTAGCTGTCCGATTGAACCGAAAGCGCCTGGCGGTGGTTCTTGAGGATGAAATATACCTCTACGATATCAGCAACATGAGCCTCCTGCATACGATCCCGACTTCGCCAAACCCTTCTGCTATATGCGCCCTCTCACCTTCCTCCGAGAATTGTTTCATCGCCTATCCGCTGCCCAAGCCTCGAGAGGATCCCGATGCCCGTCGGCCTGCTCACGCGCCTCCTCACTCGGCCTTTGTTGCGCCTACATCAGGCGAAGTATTGGTCTTCGATACTCTTACCCTGAAAGCTGTGAACGTCATCGAGGCGCATCGCTCGCCGTTATGCTGCATCTGTCTCAATAATGAGGGTACTCTGCTCGCTACAGCCAGCGAGACAGGCACTATCATTCGCGTCTTTTCGGTACCAAAGGGCCAAAAGCTATATCAATTTCGACGTGGAACCTACCCATCCACTATATACAGCATGTCATTTAATCTGAGCTCGACGCTATTGTGTGTCTCTTCGACTTCAGATACGGTTCATATCTTCCGACTTGGAGCCCCTCCAGGAAACAATACACCGGCTGGGGCGCCCATTGAATCCCCGGGCTCACAGCGACAGGATCGTTGGTCCCGAGCAAGGAGCTTCGATGACCCCGAGTCCCCAGGCACCAGTGCAGGGGACTCGCCCAAGAACGAATCTTCTGATGTCGTTTCGTCTGGAAATGGCGCAGGCAGCAGCAACAGCGCAGGTCATACAAGACAGAGTGGCTCGTTCAGTAGTATGCTCCGTCGCTCTTCTCAAATAATGGGCCGAGGAGTTGCTGGTGTCATGGGGTCCTACCTACCTCAATCCGTAACAGAAATGTGGGAGCCTCTACGCGATTTCGCTTATATCAAGATACCAAAATCTACAGTCCCTTCGGGAACTTCAAGGGCTCTGCGTGATGCTCCAGGAGGTCCCTTACGAAGCGTTGTAGCGATGAGTAGTAGCAGTCCTCAAGTAATGGTTGTCACTAGCGATGGCGGCTTTTACGTCTACAATATTGACATGGAACATGGCGGAGAGGGTTACCTGGTCAGGCAATTCTCGTAAGTACTCCTCCAACGCTCAAAAGACAGATGTGCTAATTATCGATATCAAAGTGTCCTGGAAGGTGACGACAAAAGCGACGCTTCAGGTTATGGAAACTAGCCTAGCCCTACAAAGGTCAACAGAAACTACTGCGACAATATCAGATCAACCTTGTGCGCTGAGCGAGATTGATTAATGGAGCGGAAGCATTGCTACCGGCGTTTATCGGGTCTGGAATCTTTTTTAACACTAAACTCTTTTGCGGCGAGATATCCTTTTCTCTAATACCCTTTTTTTGTTATACTTCCGAACATCGTCCACGGGTGTCGTCAATGGTACGAGCAATGGGCGGAAGGGGAGCGGAATACTTTGGTGGAGGAGATTTTGTCACTGGAGACTGCAGTTTCAATATTACATCTTAGCCATAAACTTATTGATTATCTCCACACAAATCATGCCGTATGTACGTAGAAGGCAAAAAAGGAGCAGATGTGCGTTCATCTAAAGCAACCGAAAGCAATCATAACACATTGTAGTTCATCATTGTATCCAGTAAATTCGAAATTCCCGTGTGACCAAAGACGGACAAATACCAAGACACAAACCCAGGTACGAGCCAGAAAATAAAGAGACTCGGTTACCAAACAACGCCAACAAGAACAACCCTTGGAGGGTTTCCATCTTTGCTCAGGACCAACGAGCGCCGATCCGATTCCCATTTCCTAATCTCCAATCATTCATTCATGCCAAAATGCGGTCTGTCAAGTGGACCAGTATGTTCAACATGGTAACTGTTCCGCAAAAGCACTCCAGGTACACGCGAAATGAATCGACAAACAAAGTTCGGGGAGCTGGTTGATACAGTTCCTGTGGTTCTGTGGCAATCCCTCGACCAAAAGACATGCTGGAAAGCTGCTGGATGCACCAACAATGCAGCTTTATCGAGAATATGGTCGGTTCATGAGTGCGATCTCCCGTGCAATCTCTGCCCACTCCAAGGTTCGTTTGACTTCGGCATCTGGATCACCGTCCTGCTGAAGCGCCTCCTCGTACTTTAACAATTCGTAGGCAAATCGAAGATGTGGTTGAATGATTACGTTCAGGCGTCGGGCTCTGACATAGCAATACGCGTGAGGGAAAGACATTTGCTTCGATCGCATCACTTCGGCAATACAGATAGTAGCGCTTCGAGATACTCCTACGCGGCAGTGTACCAATGTTGCAGTGCCATTTCGACGGCCCCGATCTGTTTCTCGCAATTAGTTTCCGCAAGTTTAATAGCCTTCCGCCGTGGCATAAAACTTACCAATAAACTCGAGACATCGAGTGAATTCTTCAGTCAACGGATCAATGCCATTGTCTTGAACGCCCTGAACCACGCAAACATTCTCCCTACCCCAGTCCTCAAGGTCTCCCTCTCGCCACATAGCTGTCTCGCCCACACTCAGGATCTGAGTGATGCCAAGGGCCCGTAGGAGATCTGGATTATTAGCATGCCCCAGATTACCCAGGTACATGTAATCCAAGACTCGACTTGGGAATGATCCATCCAAGGCAGCGAACCAGCTTGGCTCATCCCTGGTCAAATGAGTGATGTCAGTCAGGCTCAGGCCCTTGCAAACAGGAGACTCCCGGAGCAATCGTGGTGTGATTGAGGTCAATAGTGCGACATCGGTGGGATAAGCGAAGAAATTTCGCTTCTTTTCAGTATGGAGTTTAAGCCATGCTTCAGGAACAGGCCGTCCCGTACTGTAGCTAAAGTAAGCGATGCTCAACATAGTCGACTCAGTATAGCCATCAGCGCAATGGAGTAAGATCTTGCGAGGCTTGACGTCAAAGATAGGTTGCTGATCTGAGGGCATAGGCGAGTCTCCCTCAGCGTCCAGATCATCTGTGCCCAATGCTGGTTCAGGGTCGGGATACGAGCCATGGGCAAGATGGTAGATCCATTTACAGGTTTCGAGGATACCGTCTGCTTCGGAATGTGACCAAGTCGGTGGGAGAATACTTCCGGATGATGGGAAATCAAGAAATCGCTGCTTGTTGTCATCATCAGGGCTCTCGGCAATGAGCTGGAGAGCCAATGGGTTCAGTCGACCAAGATCGCTGCACTCAATCAGAATGTCGTATTTCTGCTCTTCAGGGCTTCCTTGCTCAGGCGTAGGGCCCATGAAAACGTTTTTGGAAAACTCAGATGCCTCCGTCATGGCCCACATCTCTCGTCTCTCCTGGTTGAAGAAATCAAGGACATTGCCTGTCAAGTGGCTAGAGGCGTCTACGGCCACTATTTCAGGGTGATTTTCTTCGAATTCTGAGAATGGGCTTGTGCAAACAAAAGTATGATACTCTGGCATCCAAACACCTTGATCCTCATTTCTTTCGCGCCACCGCTTCTGTGCACTCGCGATATCCCATGCGACTTTACGAGTTTTGAGCAAATCTCCACCATACACAATTATGTCCGACAAAACAGCAGTTTTTACTGTCTGGATTTGGAAGTTCCTAACAGAAAACCCCTCCCGAGGGTCCGCATCAATAAACTCAGTGGGCTTGTTTGCTTGAACGATCTCATTCGGAGCAACCGCCCCCTTCAGCCGTGCACAGTTTAGATCTCCGTCAGCTTTGACAAGAGTGACAGATCTGAGACAAGAGGGGGTGCGCCGAAGAGGCCGTCGTCGAGTAGCAAAGAAAGACTGCTGAACATGATTCTGCGGGTGTAGACCATGAAACCATGGGAAAACCAGAGCCGGGTCAGGCAGCGGTTGTCGTGAAGCAACGTCGAGGGCCTGGGCGACACTGGATGCATCAAGCTCATAAATAGAAAGCTCGCCCGACTCGAGTCTTTTGAAGCCATCAAGCGGATATAAAGCCGAGGTCTGTTGCAGCTGGTCTTGAGACGGAGGTGACGGTGGTGGAGTATCAGGCTCGTCTGGGCGAGCAGGTCCAGTTGGACATATGGGAAGATGCTTATTGGGGACGGGAACTGAGCATGGCGAAGTAGAACTAGAGCTAGATTCAAGAGAGAGTGGCGGAGTTATGGTGGACGAGGGGCGGTGAGGCGGAATTGGTCGAGCGAGGGCGACGGTAGTCATATCAGCGAAGGAGGGTAGATATGTAGCTTATGTTGGACAGCTTGTGATGACAAGAAACGGTTCCGGCTGGCGTAATCGAATGAGGGTCTGGGTGGGTTCAAAAGCAGTATGTTATACAAAATATGGCCCAGATGGTGTGTCTAGTAATTCGATGGGACAGTCAGACAGTATTTCGAGGCCGTTTTCAGACTAGAAATGCAATTTTCTCTCCGACTCAGCCTCAAGACCTTGGGGAAACAGTAATCAAACGGACTCTGGGAAACAGATGCAAGTATGGATAAGGCACACACGGATTTGGTATTGCTGCAAATAAGCGGGCAGTCGTCGCACATGCCTGAGCTCAGGATATGAGACAGAGCACAGGGAAGTAAGCCACAGCAATCGCTGGGTGGAATGAGAGTGATGAGACGGAAATTGCGGGATGATAGATCCCAGAGAATTGGATTGGGGGAAGGAAGTTGTGTTTATGAATAGTCAAGTAAAGACTTGGTCCCGAACGTACAATATCGTCGACGCCGCCGCGACGCAATGGCAATGGCAGTGGTAATGGCAATGGAAGAATATATCGATCGAGAAGTCCAGGTACGAATCGCCAAGAAGCTCGCAACAGCAGAGAGTAGATAACAAAGTAAGCGAGGCTATGACGCTTTGGGAATCGACACTACTTATCGAAATGGTCGATCGACGGCCGCAGGCGAAGGAATTGAGACGGTCGCGAGCAAAAACACAATGGGAGGCACAGAGACGGATGTTAATAGTCCAACATGAAGATACCAGTCAATGTCAACCAAGATAAGATGAATACAATGGCTAAGAAGATGAAGGAGGAGAGTCGAGTAGAGAAGAGGGGAACGGACCACGGCCGGCAATCGGATGGATAGTCGACAGAAGAGGGTTTCGTAATGGTGGTGGTGGTGGTGATTTGGTTTCGGTACTGTTTTTGGCTTTGTTGGTTGGGTGGTTTGACAGCGCGGTTGGTTGGATGAGTGAGTGGATGGATGGCGAATGCTAGGAAAGGTATATACTGATAAGGATAGTCCCTTTTGAAGGTGTGCCGCCCGTAATGCGCAGTGTTTCCCTCAGCCTAGACACGCAAATGCATGCCCAAGTTATCTGTCTACTTACCAAGAACAAGATCAGTCTGCAGTAATCGGCGAAGAAAATTGGCTGGCTGGCGTCTGTTGGATCACTTGAGACTGAGAGAACATCCAACCCATGGATTGCAATGCTGTGATAGTGGCCGAACGACCACAGGTGGTTTAGGGGCACGGACCAATCAAGCAAGACCAGCACCGGCATTTAGCGGGGAGCTGGCGTTGGCTTCCCGCTGTAATTGGCGGGGAGCTGCATCCAGAAGCGGGGAACTGCCTCCCACAGCACGCTAGGCTTTGGTCACAGTGCACCTTAGATCCAGAAGCACGGGCTGAACAACCAAGAGTCTCAACTTGATTGGCTGTGAAAGTGATGCAGGATTGAGGTTATCAGACGCTGCAATGCACAAGGATTAGGCACAGTAGATGGAGAATTTGCTGCGCTTGAGATCACGAGATCGATTGAACGCACACAAGGCACATCTTCTCAGCGTCGACCATATGCCAATGTGAGGTGATGTTGTGGCAATGTAAGGCCAGTATTGAGGCGAAGTTCAGTGAGGACACCACGGGCCAGACCCAAGACAAACCCGGTGCATTAGCGCCCTGCGCCGAGGGCAGTGGAGGACAGAGCTCCCTGGACTCCACTCTCTTGTTTTCCCCCACCACCTTAAACTTAATGCTTCCCATGCCGTCCATTCGCAACAGACCTCCAATTGCTCTTCGAGAGTCCTCCTTTACGTTAATATCTTGGCCAACGATAAATAACGCCTTGACGAACTTATCCATCAATACAATTTATCGGCAAACATCGTGAACTATCCGTAGTCCCTGCCTCTATCATGAAGCCGCAATACGGCATACTCCCAGAGTCACATCACACGATCAGTAAGCTACCTTACTTATCCTATCCTAGGAATCAGCATGGCTGGCAAGCGCCCTTCTCCAGACTCCACCCCTAACCCATGAAGACCCCAGAGCATCTCCTTATCTAGCTTAGCACATAGAGGTCTCGAACTACCGGCATTCGGTCTTGTTCATCTACCAGAAGAGGAATCAAACCAGGTGAGGTTTGCGACTCAACGTCAATCAAACGAGCATCATTCTAGCGGATAAGGTCACTAAGTGACAAGGTTACACCAGACCCTTGACCCCTCACACGATATCGTCCCATGAAGATCTTACTTTATGTTCCCAACCTCATTATCTCGTCGCGGATCACCATCCTATATAGCTATAACAATCAGCAATTCTGTTTCAGAAGCTGTTTCAGAAAACGACGCTCGCAGAAAGTCATGTGCGCCGGAGTTCATTCTCTGTACCCTCATGTTTTGCTTGAGTGAATCTTTGAAGCGAGCCTTGGTAAACTTGTAACAAGAAATAACGAGGGTTTATAAAATCTCGATATGTCTTTATACTGAGCCTTAGTGATTAGCCTCTTCCTTGCGTGTGTATCTAGTATGAGAGTGAGAGGGTTGATACTTGGACGGATAATGACTTATTTGTTATATGCTCTCGGATGTTCCAAGCTGACTTATCTCAATATGTGCAGTTCTTCTATAGCAACAATATTAATGGGGCATTACATTTTCAGTGATTTGTATCATAGTATCTATGGAGGCACAGATCATTCAATTCATTTACCCTGATATCTTGATGACTTGCCTCACCTTGGTGGGGTACTCTCGGTGTAATGAGTCCTCACCGAAAGCTGTCTTGGTGACATCAGCGCCCCAGCACGTGACCTCGCGACGCTCAGCTTTGATCACACAGGAGTTCACGGCACGCCTCACGCCTTTTGCCATCTTTGTCGCTATCCATCACTTACACCTGCAATAATTCGCCGAGGGCTTGCCTCGTAGTTAGCCATCGGTTCATTATGAAGTTCAATATCGAGTACGACATCCTTTCGCCTCAGGGCACCCCTTTTACTCACATCATCTAGTGACCTGCCTGTGCTATTCCCTTATCCCAGGATATACCCAGGTATGCATTAATAAGCGCGAGTTTCACCTGCCAAAGCTGACTCAATTTTCTCAGAGCAATATGCGTGAGTTGTTGGGCGTTGCGGTGTCCGAATGGGAGAGATAGACTAACCATGAGGCGCATTAAGTTACATGTGTGATCTCAAAAGTACCTACCCCTTCTATTGCTGAATGCATCGTGATTGCTGACATGATCACCCATCACACCAGAAACACTAGATGCAGGGGGCCACTGTGTTCTGGAAATGCCTTCGGGCACAGGCAAGACCGTGTCTCTTCTGTCACTCATTGTTGCGTACCAACAATACATGCCTGAAAAGCGCAAGCTGATCTACTGCTCTCGTGAGTGGCACTTGACCTCACCCTGCTATTGCTGACTTATACCTTAACAGGTACCATGTCCGAAATTGAAAAGGCATTAGTAGAGCTGAAGTCTCTCATGAAATACCGAGCCGAGCAGCTCGGTTATGAAGAAGAGTTCCGTGGTCTAGGCTTGACAAGTCGAAAGAACCTGTGTCTACATCCTTCAGTCAAGCGTGAGAAGAGTGGCGCCATCGTCGATGCTCGTTGCAGGAGTCTCACGGCCGGCTTTGTCAAGGAGAAAAAGGAACGTGGAGAAAACGTAGACGTCTGCGTGTATCACGACGTAAGTCTCGCAGAACCTCAATTTTCCTTACCCATTCCATGCTGAGCCAATGATACAGAACCTAGACCTTCTCGAGCCTCACAACCTGATTCCTAATGGCGTCTGGTCTTTCGATGACATGATTCGATATGGTGAAGAGCATAAGCAATGCCCATACTTTACTGCACGGCGAATGGTGAGTATTTCCCAAATCCTATGGTCCTTGCTTTAGTGATTCTTATGCTCTGCTTCAGATGCAATACTGCAACGTCGTCATCTTCTCCTATCACTATCTGCTCGACCCCAAAATCGCCGAACGGGTATCAAAGGACTTTTCCAAGGACTGTATCGTTGTTTTCGATGAAGCTCACAACATTGACAACGTTTGCATCGAATCTCTCAGCACAGATATCACAGAGGACTCTTTGCGTAAAGCCACAAGAGGAGCTCAGAATCTAGAGAACAAGATTTCACAGATGCGTGATACAGACCAGCAGCAACTACAGAATGAGTATGAGAAACTAGTTCAAGGACTGCGTGATGCTGACGAGGCACGTCAAGAAGATGCCTTCATGGCAAATCCTGGTAGGTTCTAATGAGAAATCTATTTGCTTAGTTGCAACGTGCTAACCGTTCCGCAGCCCTTCCCGAAGACTTACTCAAAGAGGCTGTTCCAGGAAACATTCGGAGGGCAGAACACTTTATTGCTTTCCTCAAGAGATTCATTGAGTATCTGAAGACGAGGATGAAAGTGCGCCAGGTCATTTCTGAAACGCCGACTTCGTTCCTTGCCCATCTCCGAGAGCATACTTTCATCGAGAAGAAGCCTTTGAGGTTTTGCGCTGAACGTCTGACATCACTGGTTCGGACCCTCGAGCTCACCAATATTGAAGACTACCAGCCTCTTCAGGAGGTTGCAACTTTTGCAACGCTGGTGGCAACGTACGAGAAAGGCTTTCTCCTTATCCTTGAGCCTTTTGAGTCCGATACTGCTGAAGTCCCTAACCCGGTCCTTCACTTCACCTGTCTTGACGCTGCCATCGCTATCAAGCCCGTCTTTGACAGGTTCTACTCTGTCATTATCACGTCTGGTACTATTTCTCCACTGGAGATATACCCCAAGATGCTGGATTTCTCAACTGTCATTCAAGAATCCTATGCCATGACCCTCGCTCGGAGATCCTTCATGCCTATGATTGTCACTCGAGGCAGCGATCAGGCTTCCGTCTCGACCAGCTTTCAAGTGCGGAATGAACCCAGTGTGGTTCGAAACTACGGCAACCTACTCACTGAATTTGCCAAGATCACGCCGGATGGGATGGTTGTCTTCTTTCCATCTTATCTTTATATGGAATCTATCATTAGTATGTGGCAAGGAATGGGTATCCTTGATGAAGTTTGGAAGTACAAACTGATCCTGGTGGAAACGCCCGATGCACAGGAAACCTCGCTTGCTCTGGAGACGTACCGCACAGCGTGCTGTAACGGTAGAGGTGCCGTTTTACTCTGTGTCGCCCGAGGAAAGGTATCCGAAGGCATCGATTTCGACCATCAATATGGTCGTACTGTGCTATGTATTGGAGTTCCATTTCAATACACCGAGTCACGTATTCTCAAGGCTCGTCTTCAGTTCTTGAGAGAAACATACCGCATCAAGGAGAATGACTTCCTCTCCTTTGATGCAATGCGACACGCCGCACAGTGTCTTGGCCGAGTCTTGCGTGGTAAGGACGACTATGGAATCATGGTCCTTGCCGACCGTCGATTTCAGAAGAAGCGCTCACAGCTACCCAAATGGATCAATCAAGGCCTCCAAGAGTCAGACGTCAATCTGAGCACCGACATGGCCGTCAGCAGCGCAAGGCGATTCCTTCGGACTATGGCGCAACCGTTCCGGGCTAAAGACCAGGAAGGCATCAGCACCTGGGGATATAAGGACCTGATGGAACATAAGGAGAAGATGGATCTAGAGAGGATCAAGGAGCTTGAGGAGGAAGCTCAACGGCCAAAGCCTGCCGCGCAGGACAACAATTTTGAGTACCACGATGACGAGTTCGACCAAGATATGATGGAGATGGATGGTTTCTAGACTCGTTCGAGCAACTGCGATACCAGATGTTAGCGGTTTAGACTGCAAAACCAAAAGCATATCAAGTTGTATCATATTATTTAGATTAATTAGAGAATGCTAAAGCCGGTCTAAAGTTGGTTATATGGCCCTTGTGCAATGCTGATTCAACTTGAACAGAAATCTAACCGAGCTTTCCCTTTTACTGGTTCCAAACACAATGCCAGAACGCCGAATGCTGTCCGTTCGCCCATCTCGCGCCTGCTCAATCAAAAGAAACAAAGAATAAAATAAGGATATCATCTGCTCTATGCGCGAATGGTAAGAACAATAATCTAATCTACCAAAAGTCTCTTGGCAGCTTTTGTTGCTCGGAGGGCGGGAATAGAATGAGCCCGGCCTGGCTTTCGTCCAATCTCGATGCAGAGCATTCGAATAAAATCATGATTAGTCCAATAGCTGGAGTGCGCACTGAGCATGTTGAGATACTGTATCTCCAAAGGCCCTCCCCCTGAGCGGAGGTACCAGTCGATTTGTCCGTTATCGTTAAGCAGAAATGCCTTTCTCTCTGCAATTTCCTCACGGGTAAAGTCGTGCACCTCGAGCTCTAACTGAGAGGGTAATCGGATCGTTGAAGGTCGCTCCGGCTCCGGGACGAGAGGGTTTGGTGCCGGTGCCATGCCTGGTACTACTCCTCGCATTGCGGCGCCGACAGACTTCCACAGAGAACCCGAAATGCTAGGGACATAAGCCTTCTTGAGGCTCGCCGCGTAGACAGGGTCCACAGCGCCATTGAGAAGGTACGCGATGGGATCTTCCTTAGCAAGGATGTTGTATATGTTGTCCACAGCCAAGCAGCCAAAAGTCCCGGCGTCCGCTACGACGTCTTTTGATACGATGTCGTTCGAATCAGCTCCAGGCTTCATTCGACCATGGCGAGGCATAAGGACACCACGCTCCAGAAGAAGAAAGAATCCCGCAGGACTGCCCGCCAGGAAAAGATTCTTGGTATCAAACTCGAAGAAACGTGCCTCGGGTTCCTTTCGAGACCAGTCCAGCCTTGGCACTGTGGTTGGTTGATTTGAAAGAATCTCAAGAGCCATCGCACTCCCAAGGGAATGTCCGATCATGTGGACGCGTCCATTCTCAGCAAAACCTGGATTGTTACGGCACCAGAGTCGATAGACACGATTTGCTTCTGATACAAGAGCCTGGATCATTTTCCCTTTGTGGTGTGACATGTAAAAGGGGATGTCGAACATGATGTCTGATATCATGCTGCGAACGGCTGGAATCGTATCAGGTTCGATGTCTTTGAGTCCAAACCCCTCCGGCGTGTACTCCTCCTTATCTTCCTCCCTCATTGGCCCTCCATCCTCAAAAGATAGGCCCATTCTCCAATTTAGGGGCAAGATCATCAGTCCATTCTGATCGTCGCGCAAAACCTGCTTGACCAAAGGGCTCTGAAGCTCCATATTCACAGCTCGGCGAAATCCATTGATGGCATGAGTGAAATGGAAACTTTCAACCCTCTCCGCAAATTTCTGGCCGATGCCGTGAGCGACAAGAACCAGATCAGTCACTTGACGCTTCTCCTTGTCGGCTTTGCAAGCAGCGCATACATCTTGTCCACGGCTTTCGTGCGACTCATCGGCAGCAGAAGCACCTGCTTTGTTTGGTGCCTGTTTCTTATGGTGGAGGCGCTCCCATACTGCTCGGTCGAATCCTCGAGCAACAGGAATTCCAACAGTGACACCTTTCATGATCTTCATCGTCGGTCGTCGGCCATAGTATGCTGATGGCTTCAGGCTCGGTTTCAGTAGAAAAGCTTCAGTGGCATTCTTATACAGGACATGATAATTCGAATACGGTCGTGTCGGGATGTTTGCGTCTTCCGCTGTTGCCTTCTTCACGGGAGTCGTATCAATATTACCTTCAGCAGCAGCTTCACCCCGAAAGCAGCGAGCAGCGCAAAATGGATCTGATGGTATAACTGGCTCGGGGAAGTCGTCTCCGGATCCTATCTCTGAATCTTTAGGCCATAGTCTATGCGAAATCTTTTCTTCACCCAGTGGTCCCACGTCGATAGCACATCGGAGTTCATCACTCCATGTCTCAGTCCATGGTCGCAAATAATGATAGCCGGCCTCTAACTGGTTAGCAACAGCCGGCGGTATCGGGAGCATGGTATCTCTGGATTAAGTCAGTTATCCTTCCTCCTAATCGACCCTGGAAATACAACCTATAGAACCACGTCGCCCTAGAAACAACTGCAACATCGTTGATGGGAGACCAGTATATCGGCTTCATCTGAAGCACAGGCAACGAGACCATATGAAGTCTTGATATTCCGACCGCAACCTCGGCTACCTTGGTCTGGCTCTCCTCAGGTACTGCCTGGGCCCCTTGGTTCGCAATGGTTAGAGTCACTTCTCGTTCGGGAACAACTTGAGGATGGTCTGGGTTTCGAGGGGCATCCTGCCCTGGGCCTCCAAGTCCAATCAGTGGGAGAGATCCGGGTTCTGACTGTGTCTCTGGACTTCCAACGCGTACGAATGGTCTGCCTGATATTCCATCATCGACAACTGGTGGTCGTGTAAGGCCAGGACTGCCAACTAGAGTTTGTACTCGTGGGGGCTGCGAGGTGGACAAGCTGTTGGTTCTTGCTCTCATTTCTCCTATAGTTGATCGACGCTTAGAACTACGAGGCTCTGTTGTTGTTGTGGTCTTGGGGATGCGGGTAATTGGGTGATTAGTAGTACTGGTCGAAGCGGTTCCTGGACGGCTCGAGGGTGTGCTGTTTGATACCGGCTGAGCCTCAATTTCATCGTTGGCTTGCTTTTTCAACCGATCAAGTGCGAACACGACCTGTTGCATGACTTGATCAACATTCAGGGCTGGATTTCGCCGCCTGACAAGTGCACAGAAAGCTCTCTCAAGTTCTTGGGAAACGTCAAGGACCAATTCAGAGCAACAGGCGGGCACAGGCGTTGTGGGCAGTACATCACTGGTTGGTGCTGTCACATCTTGTGGCTGATAGCCTTTCCGGTGCCTCTCCCAGTGCTTTGTAGTTATAAGCTGGATGAGCGATGCTAGTACGTCTGTATCGAATTGAGGAGTGCGGTCCAGATTCTTCAAAGCATCTTGATGAGCGCGACGTGAAGGCTCGGACATGAGACTCAGCCAAGCCTTTTCCAGCGCATTATTATCACCTCGAGAGAAGGGGCGCACTTGTCCCTTATTTGTCTTTGGATCGGCACCAACGGTTGAGGATGTTGAAAGAGGATCGTCAATCGGGATGACTGACGAGTAGAAGAACTGAGCCTCGACCGGGGGAACCTCATCTTCGCGTTGAACGCGAGAAATAGGAGCCAGGCGACACTTGACGCTGTAGGTGTGGTTATCGTCAGTCATGTCGATCGATGGTGGCGATGTCTCGCTCGGGACGCGACTACGAGTGGGATTGTATTAGATTGGATTGTATGTGTCTCAACAACGCTGTCGGGTCACGCCTTGAGTGGCAGCTGTATATTCTGTAGGAGTCGGCCGTGCCATAGGTAGATAGAGCTTGAAGCTTCCTCGCTGGTCTCTCACAAAGCCATAGAAATCGGAAGAAGAAGAAGAGAACTTGGCTAAGGCCAAGGCTTCAGGGCTGACTTGATTGATCTGGGCTGCGATTCAAGGACGCCATGACGTGGGGGATGTGCTGAACAGCTTTGTCTGCCTTTAAAATGTGGGGCTACCTCCAACTACTCATCTAATGCCGAGTACTGTGCCTTGAAACAAATGTATCTCTACAGCCAGAGTGTGAGAAAGGATACTTTGCTGGGATCTAAGGAAACTTCAATTTTAGGCACCTTTCTAGAAGATCCAGTTCGACACCGGGTGCTATTATCACATGCATGCATTAGTTACGCCTCTGCCACGTAGGCAAGCATGTCACTAATAAAAACTCCATGTACCTACTTCAAACAACAGATCGAAGCAGTTAGTACCTATTTTGTACTTGGGATTGCTTCAGACTGCTGGTATTATGCAAACAAAATTCAAAGGTGCCCACAGCGTGCCATGACAAATGCTCTGCCGGCATTAGCAATACAATGCAATCCATCCTTCTAGGATGTATATTTACACGATCCAATCGGATCAATAAGCCAAAGCATGAACCTGCGAAGCGAAATATCGTACGAATTACGGAGTATCGTTATTGTGACAAAGCTGGGGTGATGACAATTAAATCCAAATCGATAGGCGATGCTCCACAGACAGATCCCTGTCTCCAGTCGGCATTGTTGCATGTGGATGAGAATCATTATATTGAATCTTTATTTTCACTACATCACAAGTACCTAGTTATGCCAGATCACATCCTTGGTGGCCTTGCTACCGTAAACTAGACCTACTCCATCTTCTGCTGTGCAGGTCGCCCAAGAATCTGTACAATCCATACGGCTCAATGATGCTAGTGTGAGCCTCGGTGTAATGTAATCAAACTGCAGCCGCAAGCAATCTTAATCACAAGGGATGCGAGAGTTGAACCCGCTTGCTCTAGTCGAGCAGCAAACCTTGACAAATTATTCTCCAGAGTGGGACTTGGCACAAAAGATCCCATTCCCAGCGAGCTTCCAGATCAAGATTCTATTTGTCAAGTTCGCATATGCCGAGGCGAGTCGTTTCGATATGTCGCCCAGGTGAGGCTCTCGGCATAATGCATGCGAACCCTAGGCTGTCGCATGTGGAAAGGCACCAACAGAGTTTTCCTTTTCGAGATTTTTGTGTCTGTACCTCAACCGTTGCAGTATCTGCATATTGGAGCAAGGTTTTATCCAGAATATACATCCGGACGCTGATCAGTGGACCTCCGCGGTTTGAGTGCATTTTGTCACCAACTCATCATGTTTTTTTTATACATTCAGCCATTGGGTTTCGTGCGTCTGGTTACTTCCTTTCTTAGGTGAGAATACGTGTTCCTAAATAACACAAGTCAGCAAGACCCAGAATTGACAAGGCACTTTGCCGTGATATCATTAGCCAGCCTACCTTTTCCAATTCTAGGTCAGGTTTTCGATGCCGTTTCTAACTTGAAATGCCTGGAGAAAAGGCCTCTGAAAGAAGTCTAACTTCTTCCCGATCAAGGACCCTGCCACATCGATGGATTACTATGTATCTTAAAATACATCCGTGGTGTTGATGACGACTGCGTAGCATGTTAAGCCCAAGTCTATCCAGGGCGGCGAGGGTCTAAACCGGACGGCCTGGTTGGGCTAACAATCCCCAACCCTGCGAAACCTGGACCTTGCAAGTTGAGTGTCCCGATATCAAACCGCTTCGAACAGCCGTCCTCCATATGTCTACCAATTCAACTATTAGAGTTTGTGAGCGCCAGAGTGCATGGCATGCTTACCTTCTCAGAGTGTCCTTTCGAGCAAAGAGGCGTCCACAATAGTCACACTTATGATTGCGCTCCTTCATGTGCACACTTTGGTGGTGTCGTTGAAGATCGGTCTTCCGCACAAACTTCTTGGTGCACCCGTCGACAGTGCAGGGAAACGGATATTCGCGCTTCTCATCATGAGTCTCCAGGTGCGATTTGTAGTTGTAGCTGCGACTGAAGAACTTCCCGCATCCTTTGACTTCGCATTGAAAGTTTGCCTCCTCCTTCGATGTGTGCTTTCTGGTGGGTCTCTTGGCCTTGTTCATCTTTAATAGTCTCCTCTCCGGGCCAAAATCAGGAAGTTGGTTTTGCGGGGTAGAATAGAACTGAGGCACCTCATATTCTTGCTTCGGCCAGGCCGTTGAACCACTTGCGCCGAGGCTGGAGGGCAGATTTGAAGCGAAGGGGGCCCCGTCGGTTTGATAAGCAGCAGCAGATGGACCGGCAGTTGAGTACGGTTGCGGCTCATATCCCTGGCCATAACTGCTCACGGAGCCTTCGACTCTGAATCTCGAGTTAGAGGGATCTTGCAAGTATCCATATGGTGGCCTTGCGCCTATTGACGGCGCTCGCGAGGATTGGCTGGTAGACGACAATGAGGGCTCATGGACTGACGGGTTGCGACTGGGCGACATGTAGGCGTCATGTGTCTGATATGGGGCAGGCAAACAAGAGTCGTATCCAGCAAATGCATTAAAATCCGCATGCAGGGCGTCAGGTTCTACCGAGCTTGAAGAAGCTGTGCTTGTCCCAGCCACTAAGCCGTCTGGTGTGACCCAAGCAGTGCTACCGTGGTCCATGGGAGGCGGTGATAGAAGCTCTGGCTGAGGCACTGTGAACCAGCGAGCGTGGTGGAAGTACGAATTCGAATCCAAGTCTGACTGTGAAACGCCTGAGACAGCTTGCTGAAATGGAGAGCCGTAGCAAGACGGCAGACGATTTGGGGGGCAGGAAGTGTCAGAACTGGACGAACTCGTTTCGAAGAACTGTGAATACTGCGATACGGGGGAGTTCGAGGTCGAGGGAGGTGTCAGGTACATATTTGAGGTCGTTATAGAAAGCAAGTATGCGAGGGTCGGGTTAGAATCCGTGGGGATGCTAGGGTCTCATGAGCCATGCACTTCCGGTAGGTAGAGAACCACAGGCCACAGGCACCGTTAGATTAGGTACTGCAGTGAGTAGAGATTCATCGACCAAGACGGGAAACCCCATGACGGGGTATCAGTTGGATAAATACAGCGAGGGCACAACCAACACGGGAGATGGAGTTGTGAGCAACAGACGCAGACGGACGGTGGCAACAAAGACGAACGTCGACCAGACCAAGTCCTGGGCGAGAAATGGACGTACGTACAGGGAAGATCGATTACTTAGATCCTCTTTGATGAAGCTACTACCATCGATGAATTAGACCCAGACGAGGATTGTCGAAGGATCAGTCTCCGCCTGCATGGGGGGGTGCTAGAGAAACAGGCAAGACAGGCTAGACAGACGAGTCCAGGGTGGGGAGACGGGTAGGTTGGCGTTCACGGCTAGAGAGTCACTGGGAAGGTGTCGAGAAGCGGGTGACGGGGCCGGGAGGAGAGCGAAATGAGGTCTAGGCTAGGATTGAGCTCGCCAACCACACGGCTGGGCCATTGCGACCCTTGACAGATCTCGCGGATGACTTGAGGTAGATAACGGTATCGCTAGGGCCGTTTGCTGTCACCAGCCAGCCAAGCAAGATGTGTGCAAGTCAGACCGTTGAGTGCCCCAAATTAGAGCATAAAATCAACCCTAACGCGAGCTAAGGTATAGAGGGCCGCATTCCGCAGCAACCAGGATTTCCAAGACCTGAGAGACGGCTGCTTAACACTCTATGCAGGCACTGTTGTTGGTGCAACGATAACGAACAAAGTAGCATAGAGGCAGAGCCTAGCCCCAGCTCAGCCCAAGCCAGTCCAGGTTTGGAATATGTCCGTATTTGAACCATGTTCGTGGGTTCTTTTTCAAACTGATGCCATCGTCCCATGAGTTCTCCACCATCAAGAGCCAACACAAGAAGCCAACACTAACACACTCGGAAGATATCGAGTACGGCACACTGCGCTGTCTCTTAATTGAAGCGTGCGCACAGCCCCAATTTGGCAAGCTGGCCCATGCAGTTCAAGCATTTGTAGTGCCATGACCGCAAGGTAGTGCAGGTGCGTGAGAACCAACGACGGTGGCCCGCGGTTTTAGGTAGGTAGGTACGTAAGGCACCTTGGTGAGTAGGTCAACAAGTGAGCGCATTTGTCGTTGGCATCCTATGGTTGCTCGCTGTTATTATCTTTGGAGGGCAGCATGGTAGATCCGCCGAGACAGAATCAAGGAAAAGTTTGATGGTTGCAACGTCATAAACACCATTCCACGGACTGCTATAATCCCTTTGGGCTCTGTTGACCAATTAGAATATGGGGGCCATCGCCGCTGACCTTTTGACGACGATTCATACTTTGCGTCCACATATCATCTGGTGTTCCTGAAGATGGAGGCTCCTTGGCCAAATCATGGATCGTTCATGTGCGGACATAGCTGCCATCAGGATGATGGCCAGGGGCCTTACAGTAGGCTCTGATCTCTGTATGCGTCCCGTCTCAACGGCATGACAGGGCCAACGGATCAGGTGGTGCGACTCGTGCGAGTCCGGCTCGGTGCAAGCCAGGGGAATGGTAAGGCCAAATAGGAACCGGGCTAGATCCGAAGAGCCGATACGGTAAAGTACGAGGAAACGGCTCACGACCGAGGAAACCCCAGAGGATAATAGGGAATAAACCCCTGGTCGTACCGGTCAAGTGCTGTGTTTGGCTTGGGGCAGGGCCGTGACTCCGGCCGGTCTGGAGAATGGATGTGATATGTGGAAGCTCAAAAGTCCACTCATGTCCAATTTATCCCTACACGCTGCCGTTGCACGGAATAATTAGGTGGGCGCGGTCCAGGTGGGTCAGGAACTTGTGGAGTGGGCACGATGTAACGAAAGGACAGTGCTGTTTATCCTTGAAACGGCCTGTGATGGTACTTCTGAAGGCCCAAATGGCGCGGCTGTTTGTTAGGGAGTCTACAGTGTCTGCAACCTTACCAGATGTGACAGTAGATATCGGCTTGTTCCTGGCCTCAAGCCCGCTCAACGGCCGGTGGCGCCCCGCAAAACGGCCTCTACTGTGCTATACATATCGACGGCATTGGGTGCACGCATGCACGCACATGTTTGCAAATAGCCTCAATATTCATTCATCCCGTTTAAACGCAACCGGACCGAAGGTACTGCATCTCAAATCCACGGCACAAAATACAGTTTGAGCCTTGTCTTGCCTTGCTTTCCCTTGCCTTGCCTTACCCTACGGCGGCCCGGTCCTTTTAATCCTCCGCTCTTATACTGCGTGTACTCCGTCCGTATAGAATTAGGATGTTGGGTACCTTTGCGCATCCATATCTGCAGCTGAGATAGATACACCCACCAAACCTTAACCTTACAGGATAAAGCCCACTTGGACGGAGATTATAAGCCATATCCGCGTTGCTCTCGCGGTTAGATAGGTAGTAGGTATTTTCAGAAAGCAAGATCTCCTTTGCCAGTCCATGCGTCTAGGGGAGACGATGAAGTGCATCCGGCGATGCTACTGCGCTAAATGATGACGCTGCGTACAATACACCAGCAATCGAGGAGCAAGAAATGGAACATCTGTACAAACTGCGGGTGTTCATCATCAGCCAAGCAAGTCCGCTACCTGAAGAGTGAGCACTCAGCTAACGTTAGTGCCTCGGTGGCTTCTGTTGTTGCACTGTATTTTGCTCGCCGTCCCTTGGGACCCTAATTTTTGGTCCATCCCGTCTCTAACATCCACTAACCTACCTTACGAGGTAAAGTCGCGACGAGTTTGCCCAAATTGGCGAAAGCCAAGACAAAACGTCCCAGCTTTCCAGGGTCCCTAGACAACAATTAGTCTAACTATACAGGCCTGACAGGCGCAGGCGCACCGGTTCTTTTTGCCGCCGAGACGCCAAAGCCTAGGTTAAGTCCAAGATCTAATGTCAGAGCAAGCACTTTTTTTTTTGTTTGTTCCTACATGAGCCAGATTCTTCAGATGCCGCATTGTTTCGCTCGACTTCCTCCTCATTGGCTGCGGGCTCGGCTATGATCATGAGCTGAAGAGTTCTTGAATGATCTACGGCGCAAGACTTACTTCCAAAACGTCCGTTTATAAGCGTCGTATATCGTATACAGACCAGGCGCTGCATAGCTGTCATCGGCGCCTTGGAGGGCTTGAACCATATTAACCCATACTTTTGTCATACTACGAAACTGAGAAAAGCCACTTCCATTCAACTCGAAAACTTCCCCAAAAGATGCACAACTTTAATTACTATATTATAACTGTCCTAGCAAATGTTCGTCTTCAAGATCCATATAACTAACTTGAGCTTTGTGTGAGTGCATGCAAAAAGTCAAGGATCCTGGGAAACCTGGAACCTTGCAAAGGAGCCAGTCTGTTCATCCGCAGAGTCCGGCCCGAAAACTCTGCAGCAAGCAAAGCAAAAGCCCTTGAACGCTCTTGAGGGCAGGAGTCATAATGATACCTTGGAGTCAGAGCTTCCACAGTAATGGGGTCGATAGACTCCACGGGGCGAGCCCACCAAGGTTACACAAACAGTATTCGGCCATGTCTTCTCATTAACGAGTTAATTACATGTCCCGGTCAAGGATGGGAGGATACCGGATGTAGAGATTGAATGAATAGACGCGGTTCGTGCGGTTACCCTCCGTGAAGATCATGATTCGAAGAGCGTCCCAAAACTGCAATCACCGATCGGTTGCTTGCACAAGCTTAATTCAGAGCCAGCTCTTGACTGGCAAACCAACTGGCTCTGGGATCGAGACACGCGTGGATAATCCAGGATGACAGAAAGAGGGGGGTATGTATGGTGGGCAACCTTTGACTGTTCCATCGATTCCTGGTACCTATCACCTGCAGAAGCCACTGCATTAGGAATGCCATGGCCTGTGATGAGAACGGTAGCTACGGTATTTTCTCCTTTGCTTGCTTTCACGGAGGCCATTTAGATCAGATCCTTGATGCCTGCCAGGATGACATTGCCCACCATGTTGACTTCCAGATAGCTCTTGGCAGTGAGTGTGCAACTTCAATCTGAGTGGTGACTACAGCTGATAGTTGTCGGGTTATGGCTGAGCAGTATCAAACCAAGATATCCATTCTCGTACGATTACACGTTTCTTGTAGCAGGCTAGTGCTCTTTCGCAGTTCCAATCCGCAACACGATATACATATACAGTCCCATCTGCTTCGTTACCCATCTTCAGAAGTTGAGTGTGGTTTCGCGATGACTTCCGCCTTGCCTATCCCTGCTCAACGGTTTGGATGACATGCACCGAATTAGAGTTTCCCTGACAGACTCTAAACGGGATTCAGGCCATTTCCAAGTGAGCCGTGCACTGGTTATGATCGGTCCCCAGCCTAGGCCTTTCTCCTCGATCAGGGGTCCACGGAGATCCATTCCACTTGGAGCCTTCCAGACCATGCATGCCATGATGATCTTCAAGTCAAGGATCTCGAAGATCTATCTCATGGCTGATGTACGTAGGAAGTGTAGCCTCAGCCCGCGTCCAGTTCCAGTTCCAGTCTCGGTCTGACAATGGAAGGTCGCGCAAGACAGGTACGTAGAGCTGCAGCACCTAAACCGGCAAATTCCCCGAAATCTGCCTTCCATATTGGTTTGTTACTGCAGTACCTCCTGTATCCTTGTCAGTTGGTGGTGATCTTCTAACCCCCAGGGCTTGTTCATAATCCGTCGACCAAACTGCGAGTAAACCAAGGTACACATCTGGCTACTGGGTATATGGCATAGGCCCGTTGAGGCGGCCGCGCCCGGGGTTGCTTGTGTCCAGGACTCTACGTGTAAGTCAAAGTCCAGAGTCTAGATCGCAATAACAGACCCCTATTTCTATTCTTAGGATACCACTGCAACAAGAGCTTAGAACATTTATTGTTGAATCCCAAAGCACTGTCACACATTAATGACGCAAGGTTTTCAAGTATCTCGTGAGTTCCTCGGCTCGACGGGTATCAGATGCTTGTCACCGAGTCTGTCAATTGCAACCCCATGATCTCGCTCTTTTACCCATGGACCAAGGCACCTAGTAAGGAATATACTCGCCACATATTCTCAGTATCTGTGCAATATGTCCAAGTCATGATAGTCCAGAATATGGAACCTTTCGCATGTTTACAACCATTTATTAGGCAAGTTTATTAATATTTGAACCACATCCCTTGAGGAGTTCTGAGTTCTTGTTCTTGTCGCATCTCAGCGAACATCCATACGTATCTGTCTGTTTAGGCAAAGCCTTTGGCGAGTTGCCAGAAGTTGTCCATCTTAGTGCGGGCCAGAGCATCTCTCGCTTCCGAGTCTGTCTCACACACTTTACTTCCCCATTTTCTGAATGCTCGCGCCTTCTCTTCGCCCTCAAAGACAAGCTTGCATTCGTTCATCGACATATCCTTAAGCTCGCCGTTATCCTTTTCGGCGAGAAGCCAGTCGCGTGTGGCGCCTTGTTTTCCGTCTCGGTCTCTTGACGGCGAATTCTCGGTCCAGTCGATTCGGTTAAGCATGAGCTTCTTGTACTTCTTGATACTCCATTCGCCTCCTTCTACAATCACCAAATTGAATTTGGGGTGCATGACGCATATGCCTGTAAGTGCCAGTTGCTCAGCGTTCATGCCGATCTTGTAACGGTGTTGTCCATTCGCTAGGCTTCCAATCTTGAAAACCAGCATGTGAATTCCCTTCTCGGCGTCTTTTTGTTGATTTGTCGCGAGTTTGTCGTGTTTCTGATCCTTGGTGAGTTTCCTTTCTTCGTTTGTTTCGACGTGTTTCTGGTGGCGTTCCGCAATCTCTCGATTGACGCGCGCTTCGACAGCAGTTGGATCCTTGACAGCAACTAGATAAAACATTAGCATGTGATTGAGTCAACGAGATCGTATGTTAGACTCACCGTCACCAAGAACTCGCATCAGGTTGCCCTTCTTGACCTTGGGAGGCGGAGCTGGTACCAATCCCAAGCGAATTTTAGCTTGCATTTCTTTTAGCTCAGCCATTCGTCGTTGTCGCCTCAACTTCGCTTGTTCTCTCGAAGTCAGGAACATAGGCTTCGCCGCCGGAACGTGTCGATCTTGAGGTGGCTCGAGTGCGACCGGATGCTGAATATATTCAGTGATGATGCTGTCGGCCGTTGTAAGTTTGAGTTTCGAAGGGTCATCCAGCATGTCATAGCTTCCTCCGTCAACAAGTCCTTCATCCCACCACTCAATCTCTGGCGGTGCATCCACGACATAGTTCCTTTCAACATCTAGATCGTCGTCGATACCAGCTTTTCGAGTTTGCTCTGCAATTCGTTTTTTCATCGCCTCCAAGGCGGCTTGCCGACGAAGAGCATTGGCTTGGGCGATATATTTGCCCTTCTGGTTGAATACAAGTGATCTTGACTGTCGTCCCTTCCCTCCACCAGGTTGTGTTGAAAGACTAGGATCGTAGTAGGGGTTCTCTCCATTCTGCTTATTGACCAAGCCCGACCTCGTGGCGTCTTGCGACCGGACCTTGTCTGTTCGCCCACTTGATGGCATTGGCGTCGATTCCTTTGATTTACTTGCGGGCTTATATGATCCTAGATCCTCCAAGGCAGGATGAAGTCCAACGTTTAGGCCCCCCTTTGCCTTGCTGGTTCCGATTGCTGCGGCGACTCGAGCCTTGAGTGCAGCCATCCTGTCCGCAGCAGACTCGATCTTTTGCACTCGCGATGAGGCATCGTGGCGAGGGCCGAGCCCATGGGATTGGTTGTTGCGATCCATCACTGTAGCTCAACGATGCCTGATCGTTTAGTTGAGGCTACAAAGACACTGCCTTTACAGCTGTGCTAAGGAGCGCCTTTGGAAGATCAAGAATTTCAACTGCGAATTATGGCGCGTATCAGCAGTAAAAATTCGGTTGGATGGTCCGGCGATCGTGGTTTCGGTGATGCGCGTGCAATAGATACAGCTTTTAAGATGATGCAAATGGCAAGGTCAGTAAGAGCCATGCGTGGAGACGCTGAGTAGCGTGCAAGACTGGCTCCATGGATCGGTCTAAAATTCTGCCGGGCCGCACCGCCAAAAAATTGTTCTCTCGCAAAGGTCCCCACTGCCTCTACGATTTACCTTCACTTCGCATAGTGCACTGGGAATGGATTTCGTCAGTTAACCCAAAGACGTCGCTCAATCGCCAAATTATTCGCTCGAAAGGGCGGCAATAACGTCACCATGAATATCGCACAACCGGTCGCGTCCGGGGTAGAGAGCGTCGAGTTTACGTTCTTGTCGCCAAAGGAAATCCGAGCAATCTCTGTCAAGCGAATTGAGAATCCCGAAACCTTCGACAACCTTCTCAATCCTGTACCAGGCGGTCTCTATGACCCTGCCCTCGGATCTTGGGGCGATGCGCCGTAAGTTCCACTGGCATACCAAGATTGACAAAGACAGCCTCTCACAGCGCAATCACAGATGCACAACATGTAACTTGAACCAGGCTACATGCCCCGGCCATGCTGGACACATTCAACTCCCAGTGCCAGTCTATCATCCAGTATTCATGGACCAAGCTTATCGACTCCTGAAAGCTGCCTGCGTCTACTGCAAAGGATTCCGACTTCCTCAGAAAGAACTACACAAGTATGTGTGCCAACTAAAACTTCTTCAGCACGGCTTGATTCAGGAGGCTCACGTAGTGGGTGCCATTGGCGATAACGAGCTGGCCATCGAGCTCGGGGACTTCTCTGAATTGGAAAGTGAAGCTGAGGAGGAGGGCGGCACCAACTCGATCGATAACGTAACACGCGCAAGAGACAAGTACGTTGACAAGTGTCTTAGCGGTATTAAGATCAAGAGAGGCGACACAAAGAGAGGGAAACACGAGGGATCGAGCGAAATGCGTCGTGAGATTATTAAGGAGTTTCTGGCAGAAATCACCAAGCGCAGAGTTTGCGCTAGCTGTGGTGGCATTTCACCTTCATACCGCAAGGATCGATTTGTTAAAGTTTTTGAGAGATCACTATCTGATAAGGACAAGGCCAAGATGGCTCAGAAGAATTTCAAGCAGGCCGATGCTATGGCCAGGGTCCACCAAGCTGCAACCAAACAGAAGCCCGATGGATACTCATCCGACGAGGGCGTTGCAGATGTGGCTTCTCCTACTCGTGAGACTTCCCACGTTAATGGAGATATCACCGATCAGGACATAGAGATGATAGATGCGGACACGGCTTCTACTTCTTCTTCTCCACAGCGGTATATCAGCGCCATGGAGGTTCGAGCTCGACTCAACGAGTTGTTCACCAAGGAGCAAGAATTGGTTTCCCTCCTATACAACGCGAAGCCCCCGACCCGCAGCTCTACCAAAGTCACGCCCGACATGTTCTTTTTGACAACCATCCTAGTTCCTCCCAACCGCTACCGCCCCGAAGCTCGAACAGGCGAGTCCGAGATTTCTGAAGCCCAGCAAAATTCTCTTTACAAAAATATTCTCAGAGGCTGTGGAACGATCGCGCGTCTACACAGGGAGTTACAGGTGGGAAAAGCCGATGTCAACAGGATGCATCAGGCCTCAGCAGAGCTTCAAGAGTCGGTCAACGCGCTCATCGATAAGAATAAAAACCCGGTTCAAGGTGCTGCAGCGAAGCGCAACGAGGATGGCATCAAGCAGAAGCTCGAGAAGAAGGAAGGTCTCTTCCGAAAGAACATGATGGGTAAGCGTGTTAACTACGCCGCTCGAAGTGTCATCTCACCCGATCCCAATATCGAGACCAACGAAATCGGTGTGCCACCTGTCTTTGCGAAAAAGTTGACGTATCCCGAGCCAGTGACCAGTCACAACTTCAGAGACATGCAACAAGCTGTCATCAACGGTGTCGACAAATGGCCTGGCGCTTTCGCCATCGAGAATGAAAATGGCCAGATCGTCAACCTTCGCAACAAATCAGTCGACGACCGTGTGTCTCTCGCAAATCAGCTACTGGCTCCCACAAGCAGCAATGCTGCTAGGACCCGGAACAAGAAGGTCTACCGCCATCTGACCAATGGCGATGTTGTCCTGATGAACCGGCAGCCAACACTTCACAAACCGTCTATTATGGGACATCGAGTTCGAGTTCTCCCTGGCGAGAAGACGATTCGAATGCACTACGCCAACTGTAACACATACAACGCTGATTTCGATGGTGATGAGATGAACATGCATTTCCCGCAGAACGAAGTTGCCCGCGCCGAAGCCCTCCAGATTGCCGACACTGATCACCAATACCTATCTGGTACTGCGGGGAAACCTCTCCGAGGTCTCATTCAGGATCATATCTCGGTATCCGTTGCTCTCTGTAACCGCGACACATTCTTCACCAAGGGCGACTATCAACAACTGGTTTACAACGCATTGCGGCCCGAGAGTGGCCACATTGTTGGCGAGAGAATCGAACTTGTTGCCCCTGCAGTGATCCGACCTGTAGCTCGATGGACTGGCAAGCAGGTCATCACCACCATCTTGAAGAACATGCAGCCTCCCAACTGCGGCGGGCTTTCCATGAAAGCGGAAACGCAAATCAAAGCCAGTCAGTGGGGTGTTAACTCTGAAGAAGGAACTGTTGTTTTTCAGGATGGCGAATTCATCACCGGTATTCTGGATAAGTCACAGATTGGTCCCAGCTCTGGTGGTGTCATCCACGCTGTTCATGAGATTTATGGCCCGGCTGTTGCGGGTAAGCTCTTGAGTAGTCTCGGTAGGTTGCTCACGAGGTATCTCAACATGAGGGCTTTCTCCTGTGGTATGGATGATTTGAGACTTACGCCTGAGGGAGAGCAAGCACGGCGAGAAGCGCTTGTGCCTGCCGACTCAGTGGGTCTCAAAGTTGCATCTTCCTACGTTTCTCTCGAGCAGGACCCAGGTCCTAGAGATCCTCTGCTATTGGAGCGTCTGGAAGAGGTACTTCGCGACGACAGCAAACAAGAAGGTCTGGATCTTCTGATGAAGGAAGGTCTTAGTAAGATCACGGACAAGATCCAGACAGCTACCATGCCTGTTGGTCTCGAGAAGGCTTTCCCCTTCAACCAGATGCAAGCCATGACAACATCCGGTGCCAAGGGATCCAGAGTCAATGCCTCGCTGATTTCTTGCAACCTTGGTCAGCAGGTTTTGGAGGGTCGGCGTGTCCCTATCATGGTCAGCGGCAAGTCATTGCCATGCTTTAACCCATTCGAGACTCATGCTCGAGCTGGCGGTTATATCGTGCAGCGCTTCCTTACAGGGATCCGGCCTCAAGAGTACTATTTCCATCACATGGCCGGTCGAGAAGGTCTGATCGATACTGCTGTTAAGACGTCCCGCTCCGGTTACCTACAGCGATGTGTTATCAAGGGTATGGAGGGTTTGACGGTCGCTTACGATACCACCGTGCGAGATGCAGATGGCTCCATGATCCAGTTCCTGTACGGCGAGGATGGTCTCGATGTTTCCAAGCAGAAGTATTTGACTGATTTCAGCTTCATCCTGGAGAACGTCACATCAGAGGCTTCACAGCTCCGTTACGACCCCAGCGTTGGCGACCGCCTGGGAATGCACCGCGATGCGATCACCAAATACATGAAGAAGGCTCTCAAGCACACCAACATCAAAGATCCCAAGGCTCAGGACCCGATCTCAGGTCTCTTCAACCCTGCCACGACCGCGTTCGCCACATCTGAGAACTTCTACAAGGCCATGACTTCATACATCAAGGAGAACAAGGATGGCCTTGTCCGGGACAAATCGGATAAGAACAAGCTTGCACTCTCTCGTGTGAGCCTCAACAAGAAGAATGCGGAGATGCTGTTCGCGATGAAATACTTGCGGTCTCTTGTGGAGCCTGGAGAAGCTGTCGGTATCGTAGCGGGTCAGTCTGTTGGTGAGCCTTCGACGCAAATGACATTGAACACCTTCCATTTGGCTGGTCACTCTGCAAAGAACGTCACGCTGGGTATCCCTCGACTGCGTGAGATTCTCATGACAGCTAGCGACAAGATCTCCACCCCAGCCATGTCTATTTACCCAATCGAGGAGATGTCTGTAGAAGATGCAGAGATCTTTGCCAAGTCCATCTCAGTGTTGCCTCTTGGGTTCATTCTCGATAACATCAACGTTGAAGAGAAGGTTGGCCAAGGCAAGATTTACGGTTCGGCCAAGATTTACAAGGTCGATATACAGTTCTTCGACTCGGAGGAGTACACCAAGACATATGCCATCAATATCTCGGACGTTGTCGAGGCTGTTGAGAGGAAGCTCCTCCACCGGCTACTGGCTCTTGTGAAGAAGGACATCAGGAAGCGAATGACAATGTCTACAATGGCCACTCCCGATGTTGGCGCCAAGGCTGGTGTTGTGGAGACGGCTGCTCCCAATGCTGAAGCTGCCGGCAATTTCGATGATGATGAAGACGATGAGGATGGTGATGATGACGCGACGAATGCCAAGCAGCGAGCCAAACGAAGTGAGGCAGTGTCGTATGGACCCAACGATGATGACGACGATGCCGTGCAGCAGGAAATGGAGCGGGATGCCGGTGACGATGATGCTGATGAGGATGAAGATTTCGGTGGCAGCCCCCAGCAGGCGGAAGGTGACGGGGATGGTGACGATGTCGACTGGTCTGCAAAGGCACGAACCAACCGGGTCCTTGAACAATACGCCGAGGTTACAGACTTCTCGTTCGACGAGAAGACGGGAGCCAGCTGCAGTTTCACACTGGAGTACGATTCAACTATTCCCAAAGTCCTCATGCTCAACCTCGTTCAAGACGCTGTGAAGAAGACGGTGATCCAGGAGATTTCTGGCGTCGGTGCCTGCACCCTTGTCGAGGAGAAGGACACGAAGGTCATCCATACAGCGGGTGTGAACCTGCAGGCAATGCAGCGATACAGCGATTTCATCGACCCCAACCGCATCCAGACCAACGACATCGCTGCCGTACTGGCCGTGTACGGTGTTGAAGCAGCTCGCCAAAACATCGTGCAAGAACTTGCCGGCGTCTTCGGATCTCACGGCATCAAGGTGGACAACCGCCACCTGAACCTGATCGGAGACCACATGACGAGAAATGGTGGATTCACACCTTTCAACCGAATGGGTCTGAAGGGTAACGTCAGCCCCTTCACTAAGATGAGTTTCGAGACGACGCTCGCATTCCTCAAGGACGCTGTGCTGGATGGTGATTGGGACGATCTGTCTACGCCCAGTGGTCGGCTGGTGATGGGTAGACTTGGAAAGGTTGGCACAGGTGGCTTCGATGTTTTGGCGCAACTTCCCACATATCATGTTGATTCTTTGGCGTAATTTGGTCTGTAATAAAAAGAGTAGATACAATCAATTTGATCGATTATATAATACTTGTTCGAATAAGCCGTTGAATCCCTCGCGTCCGTCAACAGAGTAAATAGTCCCATGGAGCCAGTTTTGGAGGCTGTAGAAGTCGAGGTACAATAATGCAAATCTCCATCGGGTTTGACAATTGCACGATGCAGTCAGTTGATGATGAATGAATGGGTGAGCGAGTGACTTGGCACTTGCGACTATTTCCACAGGCTGTGGCGATGAGTCATTTAATATGGATCGTGACGGTTTGGAAATGTGGTAAATGTTAGGCTCCCCTCGCAGCCGGCTATTGTGCACTGTGTCAGTTCACGATTAGGCAATGGGACCAGGTACCATGTGGCGCAAGAATTCTGTTGACATCAATCAGACGCGCATGTGCGGTCAAACACGCTACGGTATTCACGTTTGGAATCGAGAGGGAGATGGCGCGCGATGGCGATTAAGCTACATACAATCCATCAATAGCAAATCACACGAGGGACGAGAAGTGATGATCAAAGACCGGTGGTCGATTGCGTAGGGCAGCTAACTAGCTTGCCATTTAATATACATCCCAACTGTAGAAAGCATGTTCCTCGTGAACGCCTTGATTATCCCCTAACCATGATATCCCTCGTTTCAAATCAAAAAGTCGTGATCCTCCCAAATACCCATGTGTGAGATCGCTTAGTTACGCTCACCGCGGAGGCGGCGGGCGAGCTGGATGTCCTTGGATTGGATGGTGACACGCTTGGCGTGGATGGCGCAGAGGTTGGTGTCCTCGAAGAGGGAGACGAGGTAGGACTCAACGGACTCCTGGAGAGCACCGATGGCAGAAGACTGGAAGCGGAGATCAGACTTGAAGTCCTGGGCAATCTCACGGACCTGTTTGTCTCATGTTAGTATATGTCAAGTGATGATTGATATATATTGGTGGTGCTCACCAGACGCTGGAAGGGGAGCTTTCGGATGAGGAGCTCGGTCGACTTCTGGTATCGTCGAATCTCACGGAGAGCGACGGTACCAGGCTTATAGCGGTGAGGCTTCTTGACACCTCCGGTAGAGGGGGCGGACTTGCGGGCTGTTGGTGATGATGTTAGTGATTATGTTTTTATGTATCAAGACGTGTCGCGTCGAGATGAAGTCGCGGTGAAGACTTACCGGCCTTGGAGGCGAGCTGCTTGCGAGGGGCCTTGCCACCAGTGGACTTTCGGGCGGTCTGCTTAGTGCGAGCCATTGTTGAAGATTGATGTGATGAAAAGGTTAAAAGAGGATGTGGTTGATGATGGTTGTTGTTGTTGATGATTGTGGGGGTGGAAGGCTGAAGTGGGTGTGTGATGCAGAAGGAAAAGTCGAGAGAGGGAGCAGGCGGGGGGATTCCTTTATACCTGAGTGTGCAGGCGGCGGCTGATCTGAGTGCAGTGGACCGTGCGCGCTGATTGGAGTGTGTTTTTTGCAATCACCCACCGAAAATGGAAATATGGGGCCCTGGCGAAAAATGCACCACTGATTGCAAAAAAAAGGTGCTCGCGTGCTAATTTTCTATTGGCTCCAATTTCCATTTGTCCTGTCTGCACGCGTAAGGTAAGGTAGCGCCCCACGCACGCTTGTCAAAGTCACCCACCCGTTGGAATCTGAATCTCTATTTTGCCAGGCAGCCAATGGCGAATTTGCTGTCCCAGGCCATGAATTTCAGTCCAGGCACCCGATTATTCCGATAATTGACTGAGGCGAAACTCGTCCCGGGGAAACGGGCCATAAGGTAGCCAGTCACAGTCCACTCTGGGGAACATGTCGCTATCTCGTTCCCGTTACAGTCTTTGTATGCCTTGTGTGATGTTGGATGTGATGGATTTTTTGGTCTTTGTAGTCTGCTGTATTGTAATGCTTGGTGGTCAGTCTATGACTGGCTGTAACTTTATGTGTTCTCAATTGCTTAGACTGTACGTAATGTTATTATGGTAAATGTGCAAGACGATAATTATTAATATTCTTTCCATTTAATGCCTTGGTACTCTCTTGTTGAGCTTTAATTGACATCATCGGATTCTTTCACTTTTTGTGTTGGTATCTGAGTATCAAGTTGGGCATTTTAAGTTGTTAGACATGTTTAATGATATAGTTTACCTTGTTCAACGAAACAGTAAACTCACACAACCGTAACGTAATTCGCCACAGACGATACACAATGAGTCACAATAGCTTAGAGTTTATGCCATAAGGTCTATAACAACATTTCAACAACTTTACCACTTTACAGTACGTCCATGTTACACACATGATCTAACAAACATATTGTGGTTAAAAACTACCCTACAACGAGACTTTACACTGGTGAGACAATATAGCATGAGTGGCTCAAGTTTAATTGGCTGGGGTGCGTGTTATGCTGCTGAGTGCCGGAAGCTTGAGAGCCTGAGACCGACCACCCCGCTTTCGATTTCAAAAATCAACGCAAGCCGAATTTTTAATTCGTCGGCTCAAAAATTCGCGTCACTAGGCACTTACGCTCACAGATCGCGTCGCCCGGCAGGGATCAAGATCACACAGTGGGTCCAGCCAACTGATCCCGATTCTGGCCCACTCGTACTTAAGCTCTCCCACTCCCGCGCTTCATTGCTACATCTCATACTCGAACACTTTCATCCAACGACTCTCTACATCCACTGCACATTACTATACACTACCAGTGTATACACCAACCACGCAACTAAACGACCAACTCTCCCTCTATCACAATGACTGGACGTAAGTAGCACTCCGCCTCTGCCTCTGCATACTCTCGCTCGACCACCACCGACGCGATGCGGACGCGCCTCGTGTTCTCCCTCCCAAGCTTACACTTCTATCAACAGGCGGCAAGGGCGGCAAGGGTCTCGGCAAGGGCGGCGCCAAGCGTCACCGAAAGATCTTGCGAGACAACATCCAGGGTATCACCAAGCCCGCCATCCGACGTCTCGCTCGCCGAGGTGGTGTCAAGCGTATCTCTGCCAGTAAGTTGCTCACCATACGCCGCAGACTCGACCGTGCCTAACACACCCGACAGTGATCTACGAGGAGACCCGCGGTGTCCTGAAGACCTTCCTCGAGGGTGTCATCCGTGACGCCGTCACCTACACTGAGCACGCCAAGCGCAAGACAGTCACATCCCTTGATGTTGTCTACGCCCTGAAGCGACAAGGCCGCACCCTCTACGGTTTCGGTGGTTAAGCTCGCTCTGTTTTACATGCTGTTACGAATCTTTGCGGTCGACTGCTTGCTGCGCAGGACCATGTAGGGTGTTTCATGACGACAAATGGGTCCGGTCTTGTTTTTGGGTGTTCTGTATCATAGGGAAACGGGGGGTTACATTTGGGGATAATCGAACATGCCCTTGAGGCGATCTTGATCATCACATAGTGCCAATTCTTCTAATCGTAGTGAATATCTTGCTGTACTCCGTAAATCATGTGTGAACCATGACCACAGCCACGCGCAGACTTGCTCGCGCCAGTGCCTACGCGTTCAGATAGTCGCGTCGGGTGGGATGTTTGTTATGTGCTGGTTCTGTTGACGCGAGTGGATGTCCTACCTGCTACATGCCGTTGTGACACGTTTACGGACCTAGGTCGCCAACAATGCTTTCATGAACGGGTCTGATTTACCTCACGATTAGGATAGTTGATGGCATTTTATGAAGTATTGCCTATCTTTATTTATCTATTATCGTCAAGAAGTGCGCCGTGCAGCTTTCCACATACTCCAAGTTGATGGGTATATTGTCGTAGAGCTTCAGAGGGTATATTTTGATGGAAGGATGCGGCTAAGGTCACGTGGTTTGGCGTTATCTCCTTTCTTTGTAGATGACTTCTAATACTCGCGTTCTGGGACGGTTTTTGACGACTTTCATATTCTGTGTCGTTGAAGCAAACTGCCTCTCTCTCACTATATTACGCATTAAAGCACTCCGCGCACATCAGTATCCAAAGTTTGGCTTCCGGGGGAAACGTAGGTCGACGTCTACAACAGGCAAAGCACCACTTAGACATTAACAGTGGAGAGATGTTTGACGGCTGGCTTCGACATAAGGCGCGCGTCGAAAACGTCAGCACCCAGCCATACCAGCCCCAAATGACACCTCTTAAAAAACACAATTCTATTGTTGGTCTCAATGTCAATGTATTGGCTCACTCACATCACAGACTGCCAAAGTCTCAGCCTACCCTGGAGGACGACGTCAAAAACTGAGTGTCAAGTTGGAGACAGCTGGTAGCCTCTCATTAACCGCTGTTGCACTGCCTTCACCAATGAGTCACTTCACTGCGTATTCATTGGGACCTGTCGAGATAATACGAACGCAACAGGCCTCGATGACTGAACAGATACCGTTCTGGAACAATCTATACCTCACCTTGTGATCAGTATCCTGGACCTTGGTAACTGCGACAGGAGTGAAATTGATGGCTCTGAAATTCGCCGATACGTAACGTATTTGCAACCCGTAGATACGAAGCAGGGGCAAACAGATCTAGGCACGCATGTCACTTGATAGATCAATATTCGGATACATCTCGTGCTCTTCTCAATCGGCCGAAGGTATCGGATTACGGAGCCTACGGGTGGCGAGAACAAAGGATCGTCGGGCCTGGACCACGTGGATGTTTGCTAAAATTAGAGGCCACCGCAGACGCAGACGCAGACACAACCGGGGGTGGAATTCCCCATGTAGGCTCATGCCTCGGTAGTATTCAAATGTATACAGGAGAGAAAAACGTTGGCATTGATCAACTATTACTCAGCCTTGAAGGTGGCTAAATGATGACGGGGATTACAAATGGCTCGAGAAGTTAGACATGATCGGATTACTCTGGAAACCCGAGAGCGACGGAGATAATGGCCATGGCCAAATTCATAGCCCAACTCTCGGCAATGGGGTTTGTCATTAAGCTATGCATGCATGAGCCCCCCCCACACGGACAAGCCGAACGGTGGAAGCTGGAAATCAAAGATCAGATCTATCTGTACGGCTAATAAATGTACTGTAGATTTCGAGATGGATATCTGGAAGCAATGATGGAACAACCATGTCGTACAGAGAAACGCCTTAACCAGTCAGCCGGTACCGGCTTACATCGAATCGAATAGTGTACTGTTTAAGACCCCTGTAACGTAGCATAACAATGCCTCAAGCATTATTTCTCACGCAGCTTGGGAATTGCTCAGCTCTGTTAATCTTTTACTCATCCTGTTCGCCGACGACAAATAAATCGGAGGGCTGAAGAGCCGGATGGCTGACAAGATGCTTATGTGCAAATTGCATCGTATCTAGTGCCGGAGGAAACACATTGGCATGTTACTCACACCGGAGTTGAGCACGGACAGGCGGTAAAGACTATTGGTAGTTACTATAAGCCATCGAATATACTGTGCGCGGGTAGGGAGATAGATGCTCAGACTCCAATAGTGATAGATGGATCGCCCGGTGCCGGCCTCAGCCGCCGCCGTTGCGGGCACGGGTACTGTGCTGAAATTTCGCCGCCAGCCCTACGCGGACCCAGCGGACGGAAGAGCAGCACCTAGTCCCAGGTAGGCCACACTATGGCTAAACGTTTGGTAGAGCTGAGAATTAGCTGACATTCATTTCACGTTGCAGTCGAGACTGTACATGTCACTTCTTAGTTCTCGGACCGGGGAAGCAAGATCGAGATGAACATGGCGGTGCAACTCAAAGTCATGAGCTTTTGCCGACAAAGTCGCACCCCCAGCCCAAATGACATGTAACTACATCTTGCATGTTTTACACAGACCCAGTTACGTAGGGTGGTTCCAACGATGAAGGATTTTAATTTCGTGCCTATGGCCCGTAAGTTCCATCCATATTATCCTGGTTCAAAGTGCCGAGTTATCACCCCGGAGCGTTTGCGGATTTATTGCCTGCCTACCTACATACTCATGCATCTTTCCGGATAGGTATTATTATCAGAAAGAGTCACACGCTCCCTGATCATCTATAATGGGAAGTGCTGTCCGAGCATCGGGGAACCGAAGTGATCATCAAAGCTGTCCGAGGAGTTAATCGTGCCGGAAAACCCGTTGTGCTGGGACATGGAGGCAGCTCAGTCAGTTCGCGGAGAGACAGAACACAAAGGCTTCTAGAAACAGGTGGGACCAAACAAGATCGATCTGGGCAGCTTAACAATGGACTCTAAAATCAGTGCTTGTGGCTTAGCTTCCAATGAGCCACACGTCTGATTGGCTGGAGCACAAAGTCCGATAGCATCCGACGGCTGATAGCGGATCGGTCAGGCCGAGAATGCACTGTAACGAAGAGTTTGAAGAAATGCTCATCCAATTATATCATTCCATTTCATCGATTGTTGAACTTTTCCCGACCAGCGAGATGCGACCAGGGTCGGTTCCTGCATCGAGCGAGTGTGTACACCGTATCCCCATGATCAATAGGTAGGATGGGATAGAGATTTTTTCTTTCTTGTTTTTGTGTCTTTACCCTATCGAGCAGTATCCTCCGGATAGGTGGTAACGCTTGAACAGGTGTTGTCTTGAATCAACGAGACAGTCACATACATGTACATGCATGGTATGGTTAGTCACACCATAGGGCGTGTCATACGACGACTCTGCAAATATTTTTCTTAGCTCCCCTGATTTGAGTTCCAAGGCTCCCCAGGACTGGCCAACAACTGGCAGCTAGGTCGAAATGTCGAACCGTGATGAATCAACATACGACGACATGTCTCATGTGACCTTGGCCAAGAGTCATCATGTGATTACAAATGGTGGGGTAGAGATTCGCATAGAGTGTGGCGGAATCTGAAAGAGTGGCGTCGGAACCAGATGACAAACCATGAGGTGTGGCTGTGCGAGGGAGCCAGCGCGAGGGGATACGTATCGCATCACAAAACAAAGGTGAAAGAAAGGATCGGCGGGGCTAGACTACGTCAGTGGAACCCTTCAAGAGGTCGAAAAAAACTCGAGCGTGCTGGGCCAGGCTAAGATTTTCCTGAGCAGCGTCAGAGTCCAAGGAATTGAGAGAGCCTATTGGGCACCGGTTCTGATGGGCCCCTATCGGCGTCAGAGCCCTGCAGCCTTGGGTGCAAGCTGGCCTTGGCCCTTGAACCCGAACCTTGAACAAACCTAAAATGATACGTACCTTTGCTTGATACGGGCATGCATCTCTGGATCCCCGGAGTGGAGTGGACATGTCCGTTGCGGGAGGCTTGGGGGCTTTGACGAGTGAGTCTCGGGGCCCAATTAGTCAGTCAGTCAACACCTCGCTGTTCGGTTTGCTCGTCTCGCGAGGAGGGAGAGGAAGAGGGACGGGATGCGATGGGACTGACGGGATATTTGAAATCAAGAGGAGAGGATTATACGGTCGCAAATTATCGTCAGTGCACCATTGAGAAGGGACTGGAAGCGACCTGAAGCAGCGGGAAGATCAGCAGCCATATGGTCATATCGAATGGTGACCCAGACAGACATCATCATCATCAGCATCATCATCCATGATCAATCAGCCATCATTCATCTATTATTTCACCAGGAGCAAGTGAGTGCACTACACTACACACATACCTACGTAGTAGTGCGTCGCATAACTGCCAATCCGCCGCTGACCTAGGGAAAAAAACGAAGCAAGACAACGGCTTCGAGTCTGGCGTGACGATATACATTATCCACACACCACGACATACTTACCTACCGTGGTACATTAATTACTTCACAACCTGTCGAGGTTGCATACCACACGCACACGGCACCCACCCTCATCGCATCCAATTGTCCAAGAGTCGTCAAGCCCACACCACCATTACATATACCGGGTTACATACCGCAAATCGACCTCACTCACTCACTCCCTGCTGCGGTACTCTCTTCCAGGTCTGCTGCTGGGGCATACGCTAGGTACCCAGCAATTCTTTCCAGATCCCGGCCTCGGTGTTGTCCTGTGCATCATCGAGTGGGCCCAGGGTCTTTTTTAGTCTCGGCCCGGTGGGGGTGCACCTAGTGACTTCATCGACTCCAGCACTGTTCTGTACCTACCTTATCCATCAGTCTTTTGGCTTCCATCACTCACACCTTGCTCATCTAAACGGTCCCTGCTTTCTTTAAAAAGCGACCATTCCCGCCTTTCGCCACTTTCTCCCAACTCTAAACATAAACTCATCTTTTACAACATCACCATGTTATCGATCCCTCGACTACATCAACAGCAACTTCAGCTCCAACAACAACTACAACACAACTCTTCCCACTCTCAGCAGCACCAGCAGTATCCCTACCCTCAGAACTGCCATACCGAATACAACTCTGCCGCCTATTCTGACCTTCCTCGATCGACTTACGAAGACGAGATCACTGCTTTTAGTCAACAACTTCCCACCGACCTCATGCAGCCCGAAACTTGGGGAGCACTTGCCCAGCAGACTCACAGGTTGCCTCGTGGGACTCATCAGCGCGAGTCTTCTTTGTCGTCTCTAGGGTCTTCAACAGCTGGGCCTGCCTCGCCCTTCAACCACAACACATCGAACCCACATATTGCAATCACCGACACAAACGACCAGAGCAACCCATCATATTATCACCTGGCCAAGTCGATGGCTCCCTATGCTGGATACCAGACTTGCGGAGGCTTGGAGCAGAATGCTATGCCTGAGATGGCATATCCAATCACTCTTTCAGGACCAAGCAGCAAGCCAAGAATGGACCGGACTTTGATGCAAGCTCCCGACTTCTCTGGTGGCTCATCGCGGTCACACCCTGCCTCAGTGGCGAGTTCCATCGCGGGTGACTCACCTGCTACTCCTACAGTTGGCGAAGCAGACAACTCGGAGAGAAGGCGAAAAGGTAATGCTCTCGATGACGGCCTCATGTCCATGAACACAAGCTCACATTCTTATTACCCAGGTTTTGCCAATGCTCCAAAACTTGACAGAACCATGACAGACATTTATGCAGACGAACTCTACAGCCCCAACTTTGCCATCACATCAACTCCTCCCTCTCAAACTCAGGTATCTTTATCACCTACAAACGATGTCTTCAGTCAGCGACTCAATGCCGCCAACAACCAGCATCTAAGTGCAGCTCAATCGCCAGTCTCTAGCAACTCGCGAGATAGGTCGCCTTTCAGAACTGGGTCGCCTCTCGCCCCTTCTCCCGCCCATGATTTTGGCAACCATGGACTTCCACAGAACTTGACGTTCAACAGTGCACAGCGTATGCGCGAGCAGAACAAGGCAAACCAAGATGCTCAGGTCATGCGTCAACAGATGAACATGAAGCAGGAGCCCGAGACTCCCAAGACCATCTCTCCCAAGGATGCTATTCTTGAGTTCAACGAGTCCGAGGGTGACAACAATTTCCCTTTGTTTCCTCAGAGTTCTTCGGGCTTCGATCTGGACCAGTTCCCAAAGTCTATGGTTAGCTCTCAAGAATCTATGCACGACACCCACAGCCAAAACCACTTCAACTTCCTGTCATCGCATGCAGCCAATGGAATTTCGGTGCCTCAACAGTACCCGTTCATCGCACACCCGCGGATGAACCACGAGACACCACCTCGCCTGAGCTCCGCTGGATCGAGCTCGAACGAATCGCGGAATGTCACTCCTGCAACCCGTCCCGGCAGTACTGCTGCTGACGGCGGCACTTACACTTGCACATATCATGGCTGCACATTGCGATTTGAAACTCCAGCGCTACTTCAGAAGCACAAGCGGGAAGGCCACCGACAGACCCAGAATCTTGGGCCTTCGCAACCTCGCAATATGGGTATGACATCTGCATTGTTGAACACGCAGGCGGGCCCTCATCGTTGCGACCGGATTAACCCAAGCACTGGCAAGCCCTGCAACACTGTCTTCTCTAGACCATATGATCTTACTCGCCATGAGGACACCATCCACAACGCTCGCAAGCAAAAGGTGCGATGTGACCTTTGCACTGAGGAGAAGACATTCAGCCGTGCGGATGCTCTAACCAGGCACTATCGCGTATGTCATCCGGACGTGGAACTTCCAGGCAAGCATCGTCGACGAGCCGGTGCTTGAGTTGCACCCGTGGCGTGCGTGGCCCGGCTCAACAGGCCAGCCGGCCAGCATAGCATACTCGCCAAGAGACAAGCCTCCTGCCGATGAGAACCCCCTGAAGACGGTTCAAGGCACCCCAGGATTGGCGCCGTGCCGTTACTCTGGGCTCCCTAGATGATGCCGCATGACGTTGACCACCGTCGAAACAAGGCTTGGCGGTTGTGGACCGATCACCGCAAGGCTTCAGTTTGCTTGAATCGGGTTGGTCGACAAAGTGCCAAACCGATAGCGCCCTGGGCCCTAGTGCGGGCAGGTGGGTCCAAGGGTCCCTCCTGCAGGAAGGGTCCTTTCCGGTCAATCTGGCTACGTCATGAGCCATCCACCCATTACGGTTGTGACATCATATGGGCCCACCCAAGTCTCAGTCACCGACCAGCATCCCTCCCCGATACTCCCTTATGATGACATGGCGTCCGTCATGGATAGCGGACTGTCATTCGTTGTCATTGTACATTATCCTGATTCCAGTTGTTTCGTCTGATTTGGCACCTCATCGAAGGATATTTCCTATGCGACTTGTATGTGTATCTATCTCTTGTACTAGGTCATCTGGCCGGCCAGAACTACCTCATGTTTAATATGGAAAAGGTTGGATTGAATTGGATTGGATTGATTGATTGGGAATTGGTCTAGACAAAAAGAAAACAGGAGCGTTTGGGTTTTGTTTACTACAGCGAGTTTTGTCTTTGTCCCTTTGGGCAGATGATACCTAGGATTGGAATTTGAGTCGCTTCTGCGAGTTCAACGTCATGATGCCTGATGACTGCATTGACAGGAAAGACCAATAGCGCTTCAGCCGTTGAACATGGTCGGAAACAGCAAGGGTTAGCTCATTACTGTACTTTGTTATTTTTGGAGATAAGCGACAATTATAGATGATGTATGATATAATGCGACAACAGAAAAAGATTATCATGATGAAAGACATGCAATTTATTCCCCCAGCGTCTAATGATAGCCATACCGTGATGCATATTAATGCTGCAAGTAAGCAACCCCTAAGTTTAGATGCTCATAAACAGTTGGCGCTAGCTAACACTGCAGATCTGACCCTTGAAATCGATCATAAGTGTGCATTGATGATGGATGCGATTTATTCTACTGCCGATCAGTATCAAGCTCACCCTCCGCTACCTTTTGTCGTTGCAAGGAAACCGAAACATTGCTATATCTAGACCCATGCAGAGAGGAGCAAGGGAACTGTAACCCTCGTGACGTCGTTGCTTAACTAACCATCACCGTAATATTTGAAAGTAGTCTGCATAAACTAGTCCGATGGCTCCATAGCAAGCATCATCATGTTGTTCTTTCTGGTAAACTCTTCAAGTTCTTGTTCGGCTTCACAAGTGTAATTTCGTCACAGATATCCACTTGACGCAATTCTTAAAATTTAGGGTATGGAGTTGCACATATGCCTCTTTGCGGCACGGCATTAGGTAGCGTAGGTAGTCTGAATAACGTCACAGCTTGGGGCATCCCATTTTCCCAGCTTTACCAGAAGCAGCAACATCTGACCGAACGACGTAGTAATGAACAACATGCATTCTCTCTGCGAATAGTAACGCACACCTCACCTCACCTCACCTCACCGCACCGCACCGCACCGCACCGCACCGCACCGCACCGCACCGCATCGCACCATAGCCATACCCCTTCCTTAGCTCAACTCAACTCAACTGATCTCTCCACCAACGCCATAGTCTTCTTGCACCTTATATCTGAGCGCCCCAGCAAGCAGAAACAAAGTGGCCGGCATCGCAGGAGCCCACAATTTGTGCCAAATTACGTCGCCGTTGTTTTATTCGAGTCAAGGCCTTCCATCACAGGCCGAGAACGGCTGCGCGGGCGTTCTTGTAAAGGGGTGTAATTCCCGTCCAGAGCTCAAACTGAAATAGACCAGATTAGTTGGGTGAACTATCCTTCCTACCACAGACAAACTATAGTCATGTTATAAGTGAACTTACCTGATACCACCCCTGAGAGGCAAGAACCTCTAGCCCTGGAATTGTGGTCCAGTTACCGGCATCCTCTGCCAACTGCATTATCGGGGTATGGCTGGGTTTGTATGCCATCTCGAGGAGGACTCGGCGCTCTTCGTTAATAGCTGGCCGACTGAGCACGACAGCTACGAGCTCCCGCAGAATTGGGTCGATAGGCCGATCAGCGGGAATAGTACTGATGACGACCTTGACGTTCGGCGAGACCTTGTCTATGTCTGAAGCCTGGCTCAGGCCTTGTAGACTGTAATCACTGGGGAAGTCGGCTGCAAGTGCGTCTGCCTTGGCCTGGTTACGAGCGGCAATGTAAATCGGGCTGAACCCCAGAGAGTGCAGTGCAAAGACGGCAGCTCGGGTAGTCCCGCCAGAGCCCACGACCATGGCTGCCCCCCTTGTATCCGAGTCTGCCTGTTCCTCGATACCGGCGTCATGAAGAGCGTGTACCATGCCTCTCCAGTCTGTGTTGTCTCCCAAAAGTCGTCGATGGCCATTGGTGTCAGCTTTACCTAAGGGAACAACGGTGTTGACAGCTCCGATGGCCCGAGCTGCATCAGAGAGCTCGTCAACCTGACTCATGATGTCCAACTTGAGAGGTATGGTGACCGAGGCGCCTCCAAAATCAGAAGACCTCAGCACTTCACGTACGTCCTCGATTTTGTCCGTCTCAAGACGATGGTACTGATGAGGCAGACCCATCTGCTCGAACAAGGTGTTGTGAAGAGCAGGCGAGCGCGATGCTGAGATGGGCTTTCCAAACAGATAGAAATTGTATGGGTCCAGGTCGCCGAGTAATGCCAGAGCACGGCGTATCTCAGCCGCGGACATCTGGCCTGGTGCGGCCTTGAAGGGTAGGGCCGGATGAGACACGGGCGTCAAGAACCGGTTCAGTACACGACTCAACTTGCCAGCTTTGCCCATGTTCATGACAATCATGGGTGTCTTCTGCGCTTCCTGCATCCGAGCTTTGAATTTGGCAAGGTCGAAGTTGTCCTCGGGAGTGCGAGCAATACCGACCAACTTGATGACATCGCCGTACTGGAGAGCCCGATTGTAGTACTGAATCCACGACGCATTCTTCCAAGACATAGTACCCTTCGGGTCATGGTGAGAGGCGATTATGCGTGAATACCCGCGAGATTCTGTTATAGACTGGATGATGTCGTCGGGAAGCGTCATTTCAACATCGACGTACTCCAGACCCATCTGCAAAGCCAGGCGGTAGAGTTGGAGACCTTCTTCGTAGGCACTGTCAGGGAATTTACCACCCTGAGACTCGGTCCTCAACGTGAAAACGATAGGTTTCTTCGCTGAGGCGCGAAGAGTCGAGATCTGACGAGTAACAGAGTCAATGGAACGATCCTGGAGCAGATCAACCCTTAGCTCGACTGCGTCAGAGCCAACCACAACCTCTGGCACTAGGGCAACAGCCTCGTCTACGTCAGGCACAGTCAGAGACACAAAGAAACTGTGGTCTTTGTTCAAAACGTCCTTGAAATGAGAGTTTCTGCCCGCAATAGAATGCACGAATTGTTGGAAGTCGGAGGGAATCTCCGCCTTGGAGCCAGACGATTCGGAGTGCGGACTGTAGTAAAGATGTGTGCTGCACTCGTTGTAGAAGTCCTTGCGGCGCAAATAGACCTGTCGAATCTCACTGGTGTAGGCCGGCCGGGTTTTATCACGGTTGAGATATTCAACCACTTGGTCGGTGTCGCGGTGGACTAACAAGACGTTGCCACCGCTTTTGCCGTAGCTCTTGAGCATCTCTCTGGCCTCCGGAGTCTCGACCAGACCGCCACCACAAGAGAAGATATGGCCAGTCTTGTTGTTCTCCATGACATCCTGCAGAAGTGCCAGCTCGTCCGCACGGAAACCCTCCCACCCACGGTCACCCCTGATCATTTCGGGAATCGTCCGCCCAGCACGCCTCTCCAGCTCCTGATCCAAGTCGATGAATTTCCAACCCAGAAGCTTGGCCATCCAGTTACCAGCGGTAGTCTTACCGGCGCCTCGCATTCCGATGATGAAGACTGAGCGTTCCAAAACTGCCTCTTGACTCTCGTGGTCATCGTCATCAACATCTGGCTCTTCACCGACCAGGTCGACCTTGAAAGCTTGGGAGAGAATGTCCCACCACCCTGGCCAGGTCTTGCCAACGCATTCCCTCTCCGTGATGACTACAGGGCCAGGCGAGGCAACCGCAAGGACACTAAAGCTCATCGCAACACGATGGTCATCATAGCAATGAATACCAACCTTTGGCGTCACTACACTGCCACCTTGGCCCTTGCCGAGCACCTCAATGCCATCCTCAAGCTCATTACATTGCACGCCAAACTTTGCAAGCTGGTCCTTCATAGCAGCAATCCGGTTACATTCTTTGACGCGTTGATTAGCAATGCCCGTGATTCGAGTTGTCCCCGAAGCGACAGCGGCCAGGACTGACGCCGTGAGGAATGCGTCTGTCATGGGCTCCATATCAACGTGAGCAAGGCCCTTGAGTTGACCAGGGGCAGGACCAGTGACAGTTGTGGAGTGGTCAGACTGCTCAACATAACAGCCCATAGGCTTCAGGACATCAACAGCGAAGCGGGCATCCCCCTGCAGGGACTTTGAGCCAATATTGGGAATTGTACACTTGGTGCCAGTGATGGCGGCAACTGCAAGCGGGTAAGTCGCAGAACTCGCGTCACTCTCAATGGTGTACTCCTGAGGATTCTTATAAGTACCCTGAGGGATATGATAGGTGTTGGGCTCATCCGAAGAAACCTCCACGTTGATACCGAAGGAGGCCATCATAGTAATAGTCATATCGATGTAGGGCTGGGAGATAGGCTTGCCTCCAACCAGACGCAGTGTTACAGGGTTCTTGGCGTAAGGAGCGGCCATGAGAATTGATGAAACGTATTGTGATGAAATGGTCGCGGCAAGCTCGATGTCCCCCCCCCTGAATCCACCAGCGGCATCAATTCGCAAGGGTAGACTGTTCTCTTTACCAAGATACTCGATTTCGACACCGTTGGAGCGTAAGGCATCAACCAATGCGCCGATCGGACGAACCTGCATTCTTGCATTGCCGGTTAGAACGTTGACACGAGATTCCTGGCTAGGGGAGGCAAGGGCGACAACGGTAGTCAGGAAGCGGGATGCTGTGCCGGCATTCCCCAAATAAAGAGGGTCTTTGCTTGCTCGCAGATTGCCACCCTTGCCTTCAACGACCAGGACCTCTCCAGCTTCTTGCCAGGAGTAAGATGCGCCCCCGAGCTGATGGATGGCCGAAAGCATGTACTCGGTATCATCAGAATGGAGGAGGTTCTTGATGCGGCAAGTTCCTGAACCGAGGGCGGCTAGGATGAGAGCTCGGTTGGAGATGCTCTTTGAGCCTGGCGGAGCCACTGTGACGTTTAGATCTTTAGGAATACCAGGGGTGACTCGAATGGATGATGACAAGATGGTCCGGATTACCTTGTCTTCCACGACGCTGGCGCGTGGCTCGTGACACTTGCCAATGGCCGAGAGCAGAACAATCTTCTTCTTCTTTCCATCGTTCTTTTTATCTACACCCATCTTTTCAAGAAGAACATCCACAGGACACTTCTTACCAGCTGTCAGCTTGATGACACGCTTGTCACGGAGTGAGGTTGGAAGATCGTAACTGGCGATGCACTTGACTAGCCTGGCAACTGCACCGGGACGCAAAACACCAAGGTGACGTGCGAGCTCTGCTTCCTTGACCATGCCGATGGCAACGGCCTCGCCGTGGAGAAGTTGTGGCGTCAAGATAGCCTCGAATGCGTGGCCAATGGAGTGACCGAAGTTGAGAAGATTACGGAGACCACCCTCTCGTTCATCACTAGACACAACCTCTGCTTTGACGCCCGCTGAGCCGATAACGATGCGCTTCAGCACATCTCGGATGGGGTCCAGGCGGCTTTCGCCCTTGGATCGAACGCATTCAAGGATGCGAGCTGCTGATTCCTCCAGAACAGTAAACTCAGTCTCATTCCAAATAGCGGCGGTTTTGACAACCTCAGCCATACCATTGATGAATTCGCGGGCGGGCAACGTCTCGAGGAACGTCAAGTCAATATAGATACGCTTCGGCTGCCAGAAAGCGCCGACAAGGTTTTTGCCCATTGGAGTATCAATGGCAGTCTTTCCACCAATCGATGAGTCAACCATGGCGAGCAATGTCGTGGGAACTTGGACGAAGCGGACACCACGCATGAAGGTAGCTGCAACATAGCCGATCATATCTCCCATAACACCTCCACCAAGAGCTATAATGACCGTGTCGCGGGTGCATTGTTGGGAGAGCATCCAATCCTCTATCTCGGCCTTTGTCTCACGGCTCTTGGAAGCCTCCCCTGGTGGGAT